CTGAAAACACTTTTATTCATGTTGTTGTTATGGCTATAAAAATGACCATGAGGCTGCTGATTTTTTTTTTTTGTAATAATCTTAGGAATTGAATGATTTTTAGAATCTAGTTCATTTTAAAAGTCGTATAAAGAACATGTATGGTTTTGAAAGAACCGCATATGGCATATCACAAGTTTAATTAACAACATATGAATCTCAAACGGTCTAATCCAGTGTAGCTCCTGCCTACATATTATTGCATTTAAAGCTATTTCACTATAGTTCCAATATAAATTCTGACTTATAGTCGAAACATGTTCTTTCGATTAATCCAATATCAATTTTGGTTATTCATATCAAGAATTCTAATTTGTTTCCTCAAATAGAAATTTAAGTTGCTTAGTAAAGAACTAAAAATTAGACAATCCGATTAAAAGTAAGATAGGAACAGATTAAAGTCATTTGACATATATATAATAAATCGTGGAAGAGTAGAGATAAATAGAAAGATATTTGTGTGGACAAAAATTTAATACACTGGAAATATAATATTACCTTCACAAAAGAATTGAAACGGAGGAGGTCCACATAATTTGTTCACATTTTAATGTTGTCAGAAATAAAAGGTTTAAATTCAGTCTATATATTAACCTTAGAATAAGACTTTGCCGTAACCGTGATGATATATGGTCCCTTTCTTAGTTTCATATACTTCACCCTCCATCCTTAACCATGACACTTTAAGAATATCATTAAATAAATAAATATTAAAACACATACTTTCTCTTCCTTTTACTCAACTTTATACTTTTTCTTTCATACTTTTACTCAACTTTTATTAATTTTATATTTAAACACACCCCAACTAAAAAAAACTCTCTCCCCAAAAATGTCAACCTATAGAACTAAAGACACACTCTCTCTCCAAAAATATCCACTATCTCCTCTCTTTACTCAAATTTTATTAATTTAATATTTCAATACACCCCATTATTTCAACCAAAAACACTCTCTTTCTTCTTTTTACTCAAATTTTAATAATTTTATGTCAAATGATACCCACAAAAATTCATCATTACGGATGCTCTTATATATAGTGCATGAAATCTAGTCTTCCCAAAATAGTACAAAGCGAAATTTTTTTTTTTTTTTGTTGGAAAAAGGTAAAATTTAGAGTATACAAATCATACACTAAAATGGATTATCATATAATCCGATTATTCCGTTTTATTATGGTCGCAGTTTTCATCTTTCACGGCTGGTGTTATTCCGATAAAGGTACGATTATTCATTTCCTTTACTAACCATTCAATTAATGAGTTTTAGGTTATTAATTAGTATAAGTATTCCAACTTTTTTTTTTGGAATTTTATTTTCATGAAGCTGGAAATTATAGTTTTATGAAAGATGCAACATTAGCACCAAAGTTGTCTCACTTCGACTACATAGTCATCGGAGGAGGAACCGGAGGGTGTGCACTAGCCGCAACGCTATCTCAAAACGCTACCGTTTTAGTTCTCGAGCGCGGTGGGTCTCCTTACGACAACCCGACGGCCACAGACATCGGAAACTTCGTAAATACACTCTTGAACACAACATGGTCGCAGCTTTTCATATCCGAAGACGGTGTTTTCAACTCACGAGCGCGCGTGCTCGGTGGAGGCACGGTGCTAAACGCGGGGTTCTACTCGCGTGCGGAAGAAGATTTCGTGGCCGAATCGGGTTGGGATAGAAACGAGGTCGAAGCGGCTTACGAGTGGGTCGAGAAGAAAATAGTGTTCGAACCGGAGATTAAAGGATGGCAATCGGCGTTAATAGATGGGCTATTGGAAGCTGGAGTGGTTCCGTACAATGGTTTCACGTACGAACATATTCATGGGACGAAAATTGGCGGGACGATAATTGACCGGGATGGTCATAGACACACGGCGGCGAATTTATTGGAGTATGCTAATCCGAATATGATTGTTGTCTACTTGCAAGCTTCTGTTCATAAGATCTTATTCACCACTAAAGGTAATTTGATTGATAAATTAACGGTCTTATTTTTTTTTTTCATTTTTTCCATTAGAAAAGTTTATGATTAAATCAAGTAGGTCTTGAATTAGTGGCGAGCTTTCCAACCCTCTAAAGATTGTGCGTTATTGAGTCTATTAGTTTGATTCCCGTTTGGGAAAGATAAATGTTCTTCGACGGAGAGAGGTATGGGTTCGACCAAACTAGTCGATTAACCTTAGAAAAAGTCAAAAACAGAAGTTTATGATTCAATTAAGAAGGAGACGGCATGACTCGTGAGGGTTAGAGAGAGAGACTTATCTTCACGTAATCAAATTCCTAGCTTCAAAAGAAAAAACGAATTATCTGAACTACATGTGTTTCTAGTTGATAATTTTCTTTATCTTTTCTCTAACCCAAATTATAAAAGACCTTATAGTTATTGTGGTCATTTTGGTCGTTGTCATCCGTCGTAATCACCATACACATTTTCTTCTTCTGCTTCGAATATGAAAATTTTGTTTTTATGTACAGAAGATATGAGCCCCAAGGCAAATGGGGTGATTTTCCGAGATGCGAATGGTGAGTTTCACACGGCAAAACTAGCGGCGCATGACGCACTTAATGAGGTAATTTTATCGGCAGGTGCCATTGCAAGCCCGCAACTACTGATGCTGAGTGGTGTGGGCCCCGCAGCCCATCTTGCTGACCATGGGGTGAAACCAATCATCCTAGATCATCCCATGGTTGGACAAGGAATGGGTGATAATCCGATGAACCCTGTCTTCATCCCTTCTCCTGAACCCTTAGAAGTATCCCTTGTCCAAGTCGCTGGAATCCCACATTTTGGTAGTTACATTGAAGGTTTAAGTGGGTTAAGTTTCTCTATTGGTTTGACGCATAGCTTCTTCAATGGTGTCCTAGATCTTCTCAAGGAGGT